ATATTCTAAATAACATTCTCTATCGATTGACGTACGATAATGAAAATACATGTATCTTATTCAATATTTAAAGTAACGATTTACAAAAAAATACAATTAATGTATTTTAAAAACAACTAAAACGTATAAAAATTGCCCACATTATAAGAAAGTTTTAAGATTTATTGTTATCATTTATGCTTTTATTGCATACTAGCATGCCCCGTCACGGCTTCGTCCGACCTTGTGTAAAAGCAATTTATGACCAGTTTTTTTATTTTTTTTTTTTTTTTTTTTTTGGTCCTTTTCTCGTGTGTGACTGCAGTACCTTGGGCTGCGCCCTATAACCTGCACTTAGAAATGTTTAGTTAATGTCTGTGTGATATTTTGGTGGGGTGGTTTTATTGTGTTAATTTCATGTGTTAGGATCGAGGGAAAAGTTTCAAAAACCTCGATAACATTGGTATGTCGTGCGACAGTGGAGATTGGGTGTTAGCTATTTGGGATGAGTTTGGGTGTTTTCATACGGATCTTTAGTGGGAATTCTGCGCGGTTGTAGTTTCCTAGAGAGGATACTAGGGGGTTTGGGTGCTGTGTGTTGTTTTCCTGGGCTTTAGTGGCTAATGTCATGATGTAGTCGTGCAGGAGTTCCGTTTTTGCTTCTCTGTGGAGTAGTGCTGTGGAATAGGATCGGGGTTTGTTGAGTATAATCTTGAGGTATTTGTTTTGGATTTTTTGTAGTGTAGCTATGTGTGTCCTTGCGGCGATGCACCATACTGGTGCGCCGTTAGTTAGGTTGGGGCGGATGCAAGTTTTGTAAAGTTGGATTTTTAATGAGATAGGAAGCGGGCTGTTTCGAGCTAGGAACGGATAGAGAATGCGAAGGATCCCTAAGCTTTTGCAGGCTCTGTCTTTGGTATTATGTTGCCATTTTAAATTGTTGTCAAACCATATTCCTAGATATTTAACTTTGAAGGACCAGTTGATAGGGTGGTTGCTTACTATTAGCTTATCTGGGTTCTTTAGCCTTTTTGGGGTGAATATTATTGCTTCGGTTTTGGTTGGATTTAGTGTTAGTTTCCATGTGGTGGTGAATCGGAGGATGTTGTCGAGGTGGTTTTGTGTGTGTTTGGTTGCCTGTTTGATTTGCCACGAGGAGGAGTAGATGGCTGTGTCGTCTGCGTACAGGGCTAGTTTTGTGTTGGTGCTTTTGGGAATGTCGTTGATGTAGATGTTGAATAGGATGGGTCCCAGAACTGATCCCTGAGGTACCTCGGTGTGCAGGAGTCTGGGTGAGGAGATGGAACCATTGTAGGAGACTGTGGTGAGCCTGTCCGTGAGGTAATTTTGAATTATTTTGATTAGGTGGATATGGAGGTTGATATGGTGCAGTTTGAGGAGGAGGCCATTGTGCCAGACAGTGTCGAAGGCCTTCTGGAGGTCTAGTAGAACTAGAACCACCGTCCGGTTCTTGTTCACCTCCAGAGCAATGTCCTCCTGTAGCCTTAGGGCTTGCTGGATAGTGGAGTGTTTGGCTCTGAAACCGAATTGTTCTTGTATTAGGATGTTGTTGGAGGAGAGGTGTGCGTTGACTTGGATGAGAATTATTTTTTCCACGATTTTGCCGAGTAGGCTCAGCAAGCTAATTGGCCTGTAGTTGTTTGGGTTTAGTCCGGATTTCTTGGGTTTGGGAAAAGGTATTATGCGAGCTGTTTTCCAGGCAGTGGGGAAATAAGCTAGGTGGTATGACTGCCTGAAGATGTAGTAGAGTTGGAGGGTCATTCTGGGAGGAAGGTGTTTTAGTTGGATGGCTGTGATTTTGTCTGGGCCAGGGGATTTTTTGTTTTTTAAGTTCATGATCAGTCTGAGGATTAGTTGGGGGGTGATGGATGTGGTGTTTGAAGGGAGGGTGTTGGTGTTGTTTAACTTGTAGATGAAATGCTCAGTTTCCTGTTCGATGGAAGAGTTGTTGAGTGTGCTGGGTGGGAGGTGGAAAGCTCTGGCGAGTGATTCCGTTTTGTCTGCGTTGGTGTATGCTATGGTGTTGCCGTCGTTGAGTGGTGGAATTGTAGTTTTGGTTTGTTTTAGGGATTTGTATGTCGTCCAGAGCCTGTTGGGATTGTTTGCTATTTGGGAGATTTTGTGCTGCCATGCTGTGTTCTTTAGTTCGCGGATCTTGGATTGGATTTGGCTGGTGAGAGTGTTTCGGAGATGTCTGTGTAGTGGGTTGGCTGTGTGTTGGTATTTGCGCCTGTATCTGTTGCGTAGTTTTATGAGGTTCAGTAGCTCGGTGTCTGGTTTGATTGTTTTGTGGTAGGCATGCGTGGTGGTGGTTGCTCTGTTGAAGTTTTTCCTTATTGTGGTTTGAATTTTGGTGATCTCTCTGTCTATTTCCAGGGTAGAGTTTAGGTGCAGGTTTATGGGGTAGTTGTTCCCCTGGGAGCGGAATAGGTGCCAGTCAGTGATGGAGAGGGTGCAGTTTGTGAATTGGGTGTGATTGTTCGTGTGCTGTAGGATTATTGGGAGGTGGTTGGAGGGGAGGTCGTGAATTGTGTGGCATTCGGAGTAGTGGGTGGAGTTGGTTAGGAAGATGTCTATGTTGGATGGTCTAGCGTGAGGCTGTTTGTGGGAGTAGGTATCACTGTTGAGGATGTGGTAGGAATTTTTGGTCATGTGGGTGTACAGTGCTTTGCCGTTACTGTTGGTGGTGATGTTGTTCCAGCATGGGTGCTTGGCGTTGAAGTCACCCCCGATGATGAATTTTTGGTTGTGGGAGGTTAGGGTGTCCAGGTCATGCTGGGAAAAACGTTTGTCTGGGGGGAGGTAAGCTGCTCCGAGAATGATTTTAGGGTTGGTGGTGAGTTTGATGAAGATGCCCTCTACTCTGTCCAGGAAGGGTTGGGGGAGGGTGTCGAACTTGAGGTTCTGGTGGATGATGATTGCTACTCCTCCATGTGGTGTGTGTCGGTCTTTCCTAATTATGTTGTATCTGGGGAAGCGGATGACATCGGTGGGTTTGAGCCAGGTTTCTGTGATTAAGGCTAATTGAATTTGCTGTTGTTCAAGGAATATTTGGAGCTCAGAGGTTTTGTTGATGATGCTGGTTGCATTCCAGAGAAGTATCTTGGGGGGTAAGTTAGCCATTTATGAGTTCGGCGGCTTCAAGGAACGCTTGAAGTTTCTGAACTTTAGAGTGACATGAGCTAAGTTTTGTATACAGGAAGTCGAGAGCTGCGGCCATGCTATTTATGTCCAAAATTTCATTGATAGCTTGAGCCTTGGCGAATAAGTTTGAGAGGTCCGGTTGTGAGGTCTGTTTGTTTTGGGAGGTAATACTGGCGTATGTTCTTCTAGGGGTTACTGCGGGTTGGCTTTGCTGGGGGGGTGTGGGTATTGTTGGTGGGGGCACGCTGCAGGGAGTGAGGTTAGCTGTTAGTGGCACTTTGTTTGCTGGTGGTGGGGGGTTCTGTGTAACGGTACGTTTCTTGAGAAATGCTAAGAGGGAGGGGCACTGGATATAGTTGGCCGGGTGGGAGCCTCCGCAGTTGCAGCATGTGGCTGGGGTTGTATGGGGTTTGGTGCACTCCTTGGTGCTGTGTTTGCCCGCACACTTTAGGCAATTGTGAATTTTGGTGCAGTTTGAGGAGCAGTGTCCAAATGCCTGGCATCGGTAGCACTGAATGTACGGGCGGGAGCTGTTATATTTCTCCCAGTATGCTCGGGTATATGCTACGTTCCTAACGTGGTTGATTTGCTGCAGGGTGGTGCCTTTAGCGAAAACTATTTTGTACGTCGCGAGGTAGCTGGGTGTTTTTCGTTTTAGTTCAGAGCAGGTTACGGCGTTTAGGCCCTTCGCCTGTAATTCCGTTAGTATTTCGTCCGTCGGGAGTCTGGGGAGTTCTTTAAGAACTACTGCAATCGTTTTTTCCGCTGTCAGGGAGTATGTATGGTATTGGATATTGTTAGTGTTTAGGAGGTTTTTGGTGGCTAGGTAGTCGGGTGTAGAGGCCAGGGTGACTTTAGCTTGATTGGAGAGGTATTTCACCTCAAATTAGCTGTCGATGGTGGATTTGATTAAATTGCAAAGCCCGTTGTGGTCTTTGATATGCTTATGAATGAAGATTGGTGGCGGCTTACCTTGGGCTGCAGTTGTAGTTGGGTCGTTAGGGGGCGTTACCTTCTCCGTGGGACTGGGTTGTGAGTTGGCGTCGTTGCTTATATCAAAGATGTCCGCCAGGACGGCGAATCTGTGTGATGGGCGTTGGCTGGGTGGCAGGGCGCGTCGGTGCTCCGGAATTGTCGGCGGATGCTTCCTTTGATGTCCATTTTGCTCGGGGTTGGATGAATCCGTCCGCGGAGATGTTGGGATGTGTAGAGGTTGTTGCCTTAGACGTGTCCATTTATTTACAGGATCTTCCGATAGCAAAATACATTTTAGTAGAAAAGGCACTAATTCCACGGTGAAAGGTTAATTAAAAAAATCATTGAGGGCTATTATTCATTATTTAGAGGAGCAGCTTTTCTAATTATGACATTTGATTTGTAATCAGCGACCTCGATAACAATTATGTATCAAATTTCAGGTGATTCCAACATTTCTTTCGAATACTATCACCTTGCCAAGACCAGTTAAAATCAAAGTCGGACAATTGGAGTTCTTCCATTGTGAGACATCTGAATTAAAACTATTTTAATTGAATACTGTACAATAACCAGCGTCTTATAACGAATTTTGAAAATAGTTTTAAACGCAACCATTCTAAAGAATAGTGACATTATTCTTGTTCTAAGATACCCTAGGCAAGAAAAATGTACAAAAAAATTCTACGTACAAACAACCACTTTTATTTACAACCATTCTTTGTACTAACATAATTATTAAAGAACAAATAACTAACGATTAGATAGAAAATTGATTACACTGCATACAGTGAAATAACTAGGAATAATACTTAAATATTTTATAAAAATTTATCGTAAAAAAGAATACTGTATCAAGGACATTAAATGATAATTTAAGTTCATTTCGATGATTCGGATAAATTCAAGATTTTCGTACAAACCAAACGTAATCTGCGTAAAGTACGATCATCGATATCGCTAGTTTTCCTCGCGATGTCGTTCAATTCGTCGCATATTTTGCTCACGTGCTCGTTTAGATCATTTGATCCTGAACTTTCGATAGAAATCTCGCTCGATTGAGTTTCTAACCTAGCGAGCTTCTCTTCCCTTTGCGATTCCTCGTAATGATAGCAAACGTGGCAGACATTTTGAGAATCCTCGATCGCGTGTTGCAAATAAAACCGAACGTCCGAGAAGTCGGAGAGCTCGTAGTAAGGTGTGACAGAAAGATACGCGGGTATAGAATCGCTCAGTACGGGTCTCCTCGTGACAGCGGCGACCATTTTGGTAACGAGTTCTTCGTTTGGACACGTGTGAGCCATCTGATCGAAAGACTCGTACGCTTCTTGTCGCACCCACGGGTTTTCGTCCTCCAGAAGCCGACAATTCAACTCAGCCAACGCATTTGCAGTCTTAAGACCGCATGCGTCGAAGGAATCGACATTATTCCTTAAATAATGCGTCGCGATCACCCTCACGTGCGATGGGAAACACAAAAGTGACGTCATGACTGCTTCCAGGATCTAAAATTAGTAAAAGAACAAAAAAACTCTTTTTGGCCCTTAGATGTTAATTATAAGGAGACCTTACAGCCGTGGACATTGCTTTTGAAAAATTAGGAGGTGCAAGTTATAATATCTGTATATACCTAGTGTTAAAAAATTCTAATAGGGATTTTCACAATGGGTCTTCGTTTTGGAAATATTTTTATTTAAAGTTTGGTATGCACATAATGAAAATATTATTTAAATATTTTTTTCGAACAGGTTTTGGGTAGGACAGTAGAACGATTAGCTTACTTCATGAAGAAGCAAATGTTGAGTATGTCAATGAGTACATAACTGAATGTGCAATCAAATTTTATAATACACAACTGAAAGTAAATCGATTAACTGGTGATATTGTTAACAATTATATACTCAGACATAGGGAATCAAGAATAAAACACAAATTCCCATTTGTAAATTTAGACTTAAGTGCAAACATATGATTAAGATAGGTATAGACATACATATTCTAAATGTAGATATAAGTCAGACATGCAGGTTCATAAATGGTACCTGAATTTTAGAAAGTAGGTTTTTATGTTATTTTCCTACATACGGACCAAAATTAGTCTTAAGTGTATCGTACCTGATAGAAATTAAGATACCGCAATCTGTATACTCTTAACAGGATACACCATAGGGAATAAAATTAGACATAATAGTAGGTAAGCTTCCAGTAAGTAGGCACTACTGAAGACTGCAGGCAAAAGTATTAAATATTTTCATATTAGTATGTTTATATTTTTTGTGTATAATTGTTATGTAAATAAAAATGTTTAGAAAGAAAGAAAGATTAGCTTACGAAGCTTTGGTAGTGGGATCGAATCCCGGCCAAGTTACTACTTTTTTCTTTTATTATTTTGAAATGCAAATATATATTTTATTAATTAAATATTAAGACAAAAATTATTAACTATTCAATACGAAAAACAGTAGTAAGTACAGTAGTAATATAGCATTATATAACGTATATATTTTTCTATATTAGTCAATCGTATTAATTAGTATTAAATAAATGGACTTCCATTTCCGGTGTGGTTGAGTAGAGACGGTTGAGTGAGTGCTGTGTGTAAGAGAAGTTAAAAAGGTGGTTATAGGTGGAGTAGGGAGTGGAAAGTGGGAGAGTAGGTAGAGGGGGAGAAGGTAGTGAAGGGTGAGTAAGGGCGAGGAAAAGGGCGGTGTGCAGGGAGGTAGGGAAAGGTGGATAGGGAACGTGTAGTTTGGAAGTTAGGGCAAGGAAAGAGAGAAAAGAGAGAGAGAAGAGCAGGCAAGGCGCTGAGGTAGAGGGGCAGTGGCGACATCGGCCGGTAAGGATTGAAAGGAAAGGAGAAGCGGGAGATAAGGTAGAGAGCGGTGGTATAAGGGATAGAGAAAAGGGTGAGGAAAAAATGGTGCAGAGGTCGCCGGAGGAGGGAAGGGCGAGCGAGGAGGGGAAGCTAGAGAGGCTGATCAGAGAAATGAGGGAAATGAGGGAGGAGATGAAGGTACAGGGGAGGGAGACAAGGGAGGAGATAGAAAGAACTAGGGAGATGATGGAGGAATGGGAGGAGAGATGGAGAAGGGAAAGAGAGGAGATGGAGGATAGAATGGAGAGTTTAGAGAGAAAGATGGGGGGGGGGGGTGGAGTTGAAGGAAGGTAGGTTAAAGAGAGTAGAGGAGAGGATAGAGGCGATGGGGACAGGAAGGGCATGGGAGGGGCGAGGAGATAAGGCGGGCTGGGAGAGGGAGGGGGAAGAGTGGGAAACAAGGGTACAGGAGCTGGAGAGAAAATTAGAAATGAAAGAGAGGGAAGAGAGAAGGAGGAACGTTATAATAAAGAGGGTAGGGAGGGAGGGAACGGCTATGCAAAGGGCTAGAGAAATATTGGCAATTGTAGGTGTACAAGGGGGAATTGTGGGGGCAAGGGAGGTAGGAGGAAGAATGCAGGAGAGGAAGGAGGTGATGCTGGAGGTGAAGTTGGAATCAACGGAGGCAAAGAGGGAGGTGATGAGGAACAAAGGGAGGTTGAGGGGAAGGAAAGAGAGAGTGGAGGACGATATGACGTGGAGGGAGAGGAGGATGCAGTGGCAACTTAGGAGGATAGGAGAGGAGGAGGAGGTGAAGGGAAGGAGAGTGAGGGTGTTTTACGGAAAGATTATGGTGGATGGGACGATGTGGTTTTGGGACGAGCGGAGGGAAGTACTCAGAGACTGGAGGGGGAGAGAGAAAGGAGGGGTAGAGGGGGAAGTAAGGGAGGGGAGTAGGGAGGGAGGGAGGAGAATGGAGGGACAGGGAGAAAGAAGGAGTGAAGAAAGAGGGGGAGCAAAAAACTAGGAGGAAAGGAAGGAAGGAAGAAGGGGGGAGGAAGAGAGGGGATGGAAGGGGAAGGGAGAGAGAAAGATGGAAGATGGAGAGAGAGAGGAGGAAAGGGGGGAGAGAGTTTAGGAAGGAGGGAGGTAGGAAAGGAGGAAGGAGTGAAAGAAGGAATGGAATGAAAGTATGGAAATGGAAGTCAAAGGCGGAGGAGGCGTGCGTGGAAATACGGAGGCGTAGATGTAAGGATAGGAAATAGAAAAAGAAGCGAGGCAAAGCGAGAGATGCGAGCGTACAAAGCGTGTAGGTTAAGGTTAGGTTAAGAGTAGGTTAAGCGGAGGGAAGGAGAGGGGAGGAAAGCGAAAGAAGGAGGAGGGGTGGAGGGTAGAAGTTAAGTTAGTTTAAGGAAGAATTGTGAGGGAAAGGAGGAGAGACTATGTAACCCTAAGGGGAAACAATAAATCCATACTACTACTAGTATTAAATAAATTGTGTAGCATTAGAAATTCTGTATGTGAAATATGTCCGAAAATTATAAGCGTCGATATTGACGACACGAATGTCTAATACAGAATTTTCTTGATAAAGTAAAATAATGCTATTTTACTACTATATTTACTTGATGTATTTTGTATTAAAAATTGAAGGATTTTTTGTTTCAATATTCATGTCATACATAAATAAAAAATAAAATATATTTTTGCATTTCAAAATAATAAAAGAAAAAAAGTAACTCGCCGGAGATTTGAACCCCCTACCAAAAGATTCGTAGCTAATCGCTTTACCGATTTAACCAAATCCTATTATTTAAACTATACTTAAATAATTCTTTTATTGTATACATACCAAACTTTAAATAAAAAAATCTCAAAAACAAAGACCCATTGTGAAGAATCCTATTAGGGTTTTTTGATACTAGTTATATACTATAATCTGCACCTCCTATCTTTTCAAAAGCAATTTCCACGACTGTAAGGTCCCCTCGCGATCGTATTTTTCGTCTGTACCGTAAAAAACGTATCGTCTTGTATTTTCTCAGGTTGCGTAGCGCTGAATAGTTTCCACAAAAATTCTGACAGTATATCAAATTGTCTGCCCTCGAAAATCTCGATCGTGTCCGCGATCGAACTCCATATTTGAGACAAAATGTCGACGGTGGTTTTCTCGCCCGCGTAATTGAGCTTTCCAATCACGGGCATCAGCGTTGTCTTGACGGAACGGCAAATCAAACAAAAAGGACAGACATTACGATTTTTTAAAAATATAATAACGTCGACGATAACATCGACAAACATCACTTACGATTTGATTCCAACTTTTTAGTGTAGGTTGCTGCTGCAATTCCGCAAACGTGCCAGGTATTTCATTGAGCACGCAAGCTAATCGATTCTGTAAAAACGATTTCGTTTTCGATGGAAAGAACCGCGCGAAAGTGATCCAAGATGGATTCTCGAGATCGTCGAGTTCCGTCACAAGAGTGTGCTTTGTCTCCTCGGAAAGCAAGCTGTACAACCTTCCGATTAAATTCTCCAGTATAACGGTTTCAAGGTCGTTGTGCCGCTTCATCAAAGCAGTATAAACTTTCAATAGATACTTCACGTGGCTAACGCAAAGCTCCGAAGAACCAATGCTGAAAAGTGAGGTTATCTTGCAAAATTGGAAAAAACGATTTAATACATATGTTCGTGTAGAAAGAGCACATTTCGAAATCGATAAGTTGTAGATAATATTAAATTTTCGAATAAATGATTTATTAAATAAGTTGCTAAATCATTTGAACGACCTTTACTAGACGTTTCGAGAACATGTCAGGTTATGAAAAAATATGAATTATTTCCGACTAAAACGCGATATCTAATCACAGTACGTGCACTGTTTGAGACGCATACGGTTGAATTCGCACTATCCGTCAGAGAACCGTTTGTTGACTGTCAATGAATCTTATTTAAGCTATTGATTGAATCAAATTCTTGAATAAATTCTAAATTGAAGCGACTAGAATGGATGCAGCATGAAACCAATCTTAGGAAGAATAGATCTATTGAAAATCGATTTATGAAATCGTTCAAGATACCACCTCAGTGTACTATTGATTACTATCGAAATATTAATGGGTTATCGTATTTTATATAAACTTCGAAATCTTTAAATCGTATTTGCCTATTTATAATTTATATTTAAAACACGACAAATAAAACAATTATTAATTAACAAAGTTTGCATTTTCCGCCAGTGCTAGTGCGGATGAAATATTTTCAAACAGTACTTGTGGCGTCGCCTCCCGTGCTCGCCACCAGAGGGGTTGCGCTCTCACAAGCGCTCGACCGACCCCTCAGTCGAAATTACGCGAAATTTTGTTACATTAATTAACAAAATTATTAAAGCAAACTAACTAATGGGTCATTCCACGTCAAATCGATCACTTTTTTCCCTCGATGTCTGGAATTTTGTTCAAAATTGAATATTATGTGGACCTTACGGTATTAAGGGTAGTTTAAGTCATCATTTCGCTGGTTTCGAATTTGTTTTTTAAAATACAGGCCTCTGAAGTTTACGACTTTTGTGAAAATAGATTGTACTTGGGAATTTTAATCTCAGAAACTATTTATCGTGTTAAAATGTATTTCTTCAGTTTTATTTGGAAAGGATTGGCTTTTCTAAATAAATTTTGTTCATAATGATAAATCAATCAAATAAAAATTTATTTATAATTCCCGATATTGCAAAATTGATTTTTCATTCAGAAAAGAATTTATTTCGAACGGCCAATTCTTTCTTAATAAAACTGAAAAAAAACATTTCAATACTATGAATAATTTTAAAAATACAAAATTATCCTTTAATGTTAATATTAATTTTTCTTTTCTTATTTGTTGCTGTTTGTAAGTTTTTAAGTAGTAGAAGGAAATATGTGTGGAGAAAGCAAGGTGAATGCTTTAAATCAACAGTGATAACGCCTACGGTAAAGCACGGTGGGAGATCAGTATGCGTTTGGGGGGTGTTTTTCTGCAAATGGTGTTGGCAATTTACACTTTATAGACGGGATATTAACAGGAGCAGGATATGTATCTATACTATTATATAAAGAGAGAGCCGATTTTTATGTTCGCGCAAAACTCAAGACCTATTGAACCGATTTTTCTCAAATTTTGACACGTTATTCCTGCATACTCTAGGACAGACATAGGCTATGTAGCATGTCTCAGAAGCGCGTTATTAACATGTAATTTATATGCAAAGATTTCATGTGTACGACTGTTTGGCAGACCACGTGACCCCTGTATACGACAGTTTACTTGCGCGCGCATGCGCATATTCAGCCCGCGCGATACCTCGCCCCTAGGTAGCAGTACTGCGATGTTACCGCCTGGTGGCGAAGCTTCTCGAGCGCTTTCTCGCGAGAGAATTGCATTATCGCGGATATATATATTGAGAATGATTATTTCAAGCCATGGTTGCATAAAGTCGACGGCGACCCTTATTCATGGTTCTGTTCGGTTTGCAACAAACAATTCTCGTGTTGATTATCGATGATTTATAATCATGCAGATTCTCTCACTGTCACATTGAGAATTATAAAAAGAGTAACGATAACGCAGACAATTTGAATAATAATTTTTCGATGCAATCCGAAGAATCGCCTATGTCGTTGGATGAATGGATAAAATCCGCGGAAATCAAATTTGCCAAATTAATAGCCGAAAAAAATATTTCGTATCGAACCGCAGAGACGATTCTTGAAGTTTTCAAAGACATTGGGCAAGATCCTGATGTCTTGAAACATATGTCGTTCGGTCGAACAAAGTGTTCAAATATTATATCAAACGTTTTGTATCCTTTAGAAACAAAACGTATTTCTAGTGTTTTACAAAACACTAAATTTTCTATTTATATTGACGAAACATCCGACTCGACCAACGAGAAATGGATGACGTTTCTTGTTCGTTATGTTGCACCCGAGACTTTGGATGTTCGAACGGAATTGGTAGAATTATTACATCTTGATGCCAGAAATTGTGGCGCAAATAATTTATTTAAAACATTTGAAATTGCCATGATAGAAAGAGAAATTCCGTTCGAAAATATTGTCGCGTTGTCATGTGACAACGCTGCTGTCATGACAGGGCGACACTCGTCCTTTATGACAAAGCTTGCAACAAAATGCAGGGACAAATTTTTGACTGTCCGCTGTCCGTGTCATCTGTCTGCAATGGTAGTGCGCGAAGCGTGCAATACCATTCCAGACATATGCGAGGAGTTGTTACGAAAAGTAGCAACTTTCATATACAGTAGTCCCAAACGTTCGGCTATATTCCGCGAATTTCAGCAATGTTTTCAAACAACCGACAGAAAAATTTTAAAATTGTGTTCTACGCGATGGTTATCGCATTATACATCCGTAGTTACACTTTTAGAGAATTGGGACTCTGTATTGCTTTTTTTGCAAGAATTGACAATAAGCGAGAAATCAGAGTCCGGGGAACGTCTGTTAATCTCGATGCAAAATCCAGAGGCCAAAGCATATCTTTATTTTCTAAATTACGCTCTTGAGTTTTTTTATAAATTTAGCATTTTCTTTCAAACTCAAGAGACAAGAATTCATTTGCTTCAAAAGACTGCGGCAGAACTTTTATGCGATATATTACGCAATTTTCTGAAACCGCAGCTTTTGAAACACATGGATTTAGTAAGAATGATGAATTTTTCTGTAGTCGAAAATCAACTCCCATTTAATAGTATAAATTTAGGAACAGAGTGTCTTAATTTTCTGCATCAACTGAATGCAGAAGGCAAGTCCGACATCGTAGAAACCGTAAGGAAAAATTGTTTAATGTTTTATATTACAGCTGCAAATGAAATTCGTCATCGATTGGCAATCGATGACGAATTTCTTAGCAAGTTGTATGTTTTTGAACCCACTTTTATATTAAATGATACAAATAGAGACATTTCCTTCAGAAATGTTCTCTTAATCGCTAAGAAATTCGGCGGTTTCGACGAAGAAGGACTGCAAACAGAATGGTCAGTATTGCCTTTGGAATTTACAACGAAAGGTAGACAGACGCTTATCGAGATGAAATTCGATGGTTTCTGGAAAACAATTTTATTAACGCGAAATTTGGACTATAAAATTAAATTTCCTGAATTGATGAAATTAGTAAATACAATTAGATCACTTCCAAATTCCAATGCCGATGCAGAAAGATTGTTTTCCATGTTACCTGACATAAAAACAAAGAAACGGAATAAACTTTCTTCGGCCAGCGTCAACTCTATTTGCGTTGTGAAATCTTCGTTAAAGGCGCAGAGGGAAAACTCTCAACCCATGGAGGTAGATGACGATCATCTAGCTCTATTGTATTCCAAAAATTTATATCATAGATTTGCTAAGAAGCAAAAGTGTAATTTAAGATTAAACGCAACATATGACAATAACTTTGAGAATTTTCCCGCTACGTCATATGACGAAAATTAAGGTACCGATTTACTACAGAGCTTTTCTCTAGAGAGATTTTTCTCTCCAGAGAAAAGCTCTTTAGTAAATTCGTACTATTAGGCTGCAATGACAGTATAAACGTTTTCATGCGACGTCGCGGTAGACTGGTCTTGTTACGTCAACGGTACCGCGACGTAGGCGCAACAAGGTGTGATGCATGTATGTGCCATAACGTCACGCGAAAGCGCTTACACTGCAACCGCAGTCTTGTTAGTGATGTCCAAAATATTTTTTTTTGGACATCGCTAATATGTAAATAGTCGTTCAATTTGTCTCGCGTTGTTACTTTTTTACGTATTTCGCTTGCTGTAAATACTATTCTGCTTGCTCTAACTATCATTTTTTTTCTTCATTTATTTGCTTATATTTTGCCGTATATTTTTAGTTAGTGAAATTGCTTGCTGTAGATAGTGTGGCTATGACGTAGAATGTCGCGCCTTGTTACACTTACGTCACGGTACCGTAAGAGCAACAATGCACGACATAACGTGCCAGCTTAATCGCAAACGTCCTATCCCGACATCCCATCCTTTGGAAATGTAAACAATTATATCATTTTTCCATTTTTATGGCTCGTGTGTATATTAATAAAAATTAATGCATTCACGAGTTAGTTTTTCATTATATTGTAATTTCATTACATTAATAAAAACATTTTAATATACGGCATGTGATAATGTTACAAAGAAATAACAATTTTTTACATTTCCCTCCTGATGGAAGTGACCACCACCTTCCCGTGGTTTCCATTGAACGGTAGCGTGCACGTTATTCTTTTACCTATCGTTACAATTATTTTGTTATGTAAAGTTAAGTCAAATATATAACATTTGATTGTGTGTAACAATTTGATACGGTTATTAAAAAACATAGTGGGAAAAGTCAGTAGTAATCTATTTCTGTAGCGTGCACGGTACTGGCTAAGAGTGGTTTTTCATTTTAATTAACCCTTAATTAACCCTTTACGAGTAAGACTGCTTTGAACAACATTATTCTAAAATATTTGTGGAATACGTTTTTTATGTGGTTTAGGTAGGTATGCAATGCATAAGATTTCGTTTAATTTTTCCTTTCTAGAAAAGATAGGAGAAAAGTATATTTGATCTTAATCCTTCTTAAGATTTATATAAATCGCTTTAAAAATTTGTTACAAATGATGTATATGTATCGAAATAATTATAAAACTAAAAACGTATAATCATCATTATATGGGAGCTGATCACGCTCAAAATCTAATGAGACCTTGAAACGAGAACATAAAACTTAAATGTTAAGTTTCATTGAAATTCGTTCAGCCGTTTAGATGCAATCATGTCAATAGCATAGGAACAAAAAAAAATATGTTTTTTTGTAGTAGTCACAATATGATGAGGGGGTCCTAAAACGTGTATTTCCGCTAAAAAAAAATTTCGAAATTTTTTTTCCATTATGATACTTTATAAATTTCCTTATACCTTACATAGGTCGGAAAGTAAAAATGCTGGGACAGTCGAGGCTTGGAATCGTATGCCACTTATCGCGAGGTCGTATTTCAGTTGTTTTGTCATTTACAAGAGCAAGAAGGAAAGGCTCACACTAACGTTCTTTATCGATTTCCCGAAGTTGTGCGCAAGCGCCGAGCTCACGTACACGTAGACGCTAAGGAAGTTCGTCGTCACTGTTGTCGATTTCGATGCACTCAATTATGCCAGATCTGGCCACACTGAGGGATGATAATATTTGTTATCCTTCAAATTATACGGTAGATACAACATTGTAATTAACAAATATCGTATTTTTAGAAACAAATCCAATAAAGAAAACTGATCATTGTTGGTTGACCCGAAAAATATGAGCGTTAAGGGGTTAATGTAAAACTCCATCGCAGAACGTTTCAACGAACCGTAGACGAATAGTGTAAATCCAACGTAATGTACAAACCGGCTTATAAAGCACCAAATGTCCGAGCTGAGCAAGGAACTCCAAAGTCGTCCGCTTAACAAATGCTTCAGCAGGATCAATTCCACTGCATAGAATCCATCCGGAGGTGTTTCACTGATCAGAGCACAAATTGGTACCAAGGTGGCTTCGTACAACATGGCTTCTCGCGGTTTCTCACCGACGTCGTGTGCCCCTGGCAATCTTGTTTCACCCGTGCAAATTTCTTCTTGTACTTTTTAAACACACGAAATAATCAGTCTTCCTAAAATATCTATCAATCTTTCTAATCAACGTCGATTTTGACTCTCACTAAATTTGTTTACTTTTGGGTCATTCAGCCTACAACAACAAAGTTATATACTGATTCTTCAGCCACCCTTACTTCATTACAATTCCCAACATTTGTTTTAAGCAGAGACCTAATCGTAATTATCAGTCCTTAATTAATACCAAAATTGTTGTAATACGTATTTGAATATTCTGAAATATAATTTATTAAAAAGTGCAACAAAAATCAGAATTCAAACTTACATTCAAATATTACCCCAAGGCAATGATCTCAAACATAAAGTACGAATTGTGCAAGAATACCAACCTAAAAAAAAATTAGTCCCTAGATCTAGATCCTATGGAGAATCTGTGAAATGAACAGGAATGGAGAATTAAAAAAACTTCGATATTGTCAAAAGTATACTTAAGATAAAGATTAAAAGAAGAATGGGACAACATATATGCAAATTATTGAAAAAAATAATAATTGGAAACCTGCCTCGACGCTTTAAAGGACATCTAACGAAACCTTAAATAAGTTTGAAATTTTGTGTAAAGTTATTAGTGAATATTAATTTAATTCTTGCTGTCGAAGTCGCCGTAACGTAAATTTAAAATGGAGTAATTATAATTTTCTAACAAATCTCCGACGACAAACTCATGAGTTTCTAAACTTTCTTTTGCAAATTTCAAATAGCTACCCTAATTTTTAAAAATAAAATCATGAACTTGTAATTCTGGTAATCGACATTCTAATTTATAAAATCTGTCGTTAAATATTCTACCATTTTTAAATTGAATCTGTGACGACATCTCCCGTATTCGCCATCAGAGGGCTACGCTCTCGAATCTCCTACATATTCCTACATATACGCTTCTCAACTAGAATGCCTTACCCATTTATGGGAAATTTTAATTTTCAGAAAATTACAGAATGCACTTGATATACAAAACCTATTATAAGAAATATTTTTAACGTGAAATACGAATTTACTATATTTAGGGGTTAAGTCTTTATAGGAACAGAAAAGAACCGTCTCAAGGGATACCACGACACACAATAACGCACTCAAAGATTGAAGTGATCGTGGAATTTTGTTACTAAATGAATTTCATGAACTTGTAATTCTGGTAATTGACATTCTAATTTATAAAATCTGTCGTTAAATATTCTACCATTTTTAAATTGAATCTGTGACGACATCTCCCGTATTCGCCATCAGAGGGCTACGCTCTCGAATCTCCTACATATTCCTACATATACGCTTCTCAACTAGAATGCCTTACCCATTTATGGGAAATTTTAATTTTCAGAAAATTACAGAATGCACTTGATATACAAAACCTATTATAAGAAATATTTTTAACGTGAAATACGAATTTACTATATTTAGGGGTTAAGTCTTTATAGGAACAGAAAAGAACCGTCTCAAGGGATACCATGGTACACAATAACGCACTCAAAGATCCAAGTGATCGTGGAATTTTGTTACTAACGTATCATGAAACCACCGACATTGTTTCTGCTTTATTTTGGAAGCGTTGTATCAACCCAATTATTTGATCTCGATTTGAATATGTTGTGTTTTCTGGATGAGATAGCCACAAAATACGCACTTTTATAATATGAATATAAAGGTATATTTAAACTCAAAACACAATTAATCATTCAATTTACAACCGACAAGACATAACCTAAAACAGTTGGATGCTAACTGCCATATATCATACTGCTGGGATCTACTCTCCCCAGGCGTTGCCAGATTCTTGGCAGTGTTGCCAACAGAATAATATAACATTTTCATTGTCTCTATTATGTCTCTGTTATAATAATATTTTTGTAATTTAATTCGTATACATATATGTATATTTGATCCCTCCTGTATCATATATATAACTTTGTTGTTGTGTTCTATTAATAATAAAAAGATTAAAAGATTTACACGACTCGATACATAAAATACTTACTATAGTTAATGTTTGTTAACGCGACATCGATAATCGACTCTGCGCCTAGGGTCCATATACAGTGTTGTTCGAACGGTGTGCCGATCAATTTTCTCAAAATACTGACTGTCAACAAATGATAGCCCAATTTATCGACGTTTGCACACCTGTCTTCATAATCGAAGAACGCCTAAAATTTGCCAGGAACGAACGCTGAATTCTCGTTGGAAAATGTATATTTGTAAATAAATTAACCCTTTCGTTGCACGAGTTCGAAATTTTATATGGAAAAATAAGAACCATTAAATTTTTCAAACAGATTCTTTACTAGTGAATTAATAAATGAAATCGTCAAATTCGATTTCACTTGCGTCATTGTGACACAGGAACGATTCGAGACATTGAGTTTCAGTTTGATCAAAACATCTCTGATGTAATGATGCAAGCTATTTTTGTTAATCATCTGTCGATATTTTGATAACAGTGGTTCAACTTTACCGACTGGAACCACTGGTATCAGTTTTTACCCGCCAACTGTTACCGACTCGTCCAACGTTTACCGACTGGTGTCCTATTAATCGGTTACCACGAAAATAAAAAATGTTATTAGATTTAATTGCCCTATAATAACAGGAAACGAACAATATAGTAAGCACTTCCACAAAGTTTCATTTTACGTTCCTACAGTTATGAGAAAACGCGTATATGTTAATGTTCAATAGTTACCAGTCGGTAAAGTGTATTTCTTACATTTTCGAAAGATTATCGATCGAGTAATATTTCTTGCGAGTGTTTGTAAGTACTCGTGGGCACCGAAAGGGTCAAATAGAATACAAACCTGCTTGAAAGCAAAGATTTTGAAGACAGTATTGAGGAATGGTTCGGTTCCTTTCGAAATGTGAATGTTTATTAATTCGACTGCTTTATCGTCGATCTGCAATTTTTGTAAACAGGAAGGGGAACACCTAATTACAGAGAACACTGTGAGAATTGTAAATCAATGGAAAAGAGAATGCATACAATATAGATATAACCGAACAAGAGAAATTTATATTATTGAATACCTGTGCATTTGCAAGAGAAGTTCAATCACAGACGAGAGGGTTTCTGTGTTTATGCAGGAACAATAGGCAATGAATAATCTGTCCAAAATTTTCAACGAATGACCGATAACTCTTATCTTTTTCTCGTCGACGCTTCTATCATGGGACTCCTAGAATAATTATATTACGATGATTGTAATATTAATTTATTTTCCAACCTTTTGAGTCCTCTCTGAAATATATTCTATTAGAAACTAATTTAGTTACGTTTCTGGTGAATATAGTCTAGTATATTTTCTAATTTTTATTTTTTTTTAAACTATGTAAACTTTGGAGGTTCTTGTACAAATAATTGTATAATAATAAAATGTACTCCATAGAGGAGCCAAAAATTGCAGTACATAATGACTATTTTTTCACACATGATTTACATGAGTACCTATGTTACCGTGAATGACCGAAATTGGAGAATGTCAACTTTCACCGGTGAATGTCAACAGATACCAAATACGTCGGTGAAAGATCGAATATTTCATTACATTGTTGTACATTCGGACCCTCTCCGGTGTGTGTCGACAATCACAGATATGCTCTGGTGGAGGTCCAAAACAGAAGAGTCAAAAAACAAGCGACTGGCTCTCTCCTGCCAAATCCTTTGTTCTGCTCGGAGTCAATCAGCTTTGTCAGTCTTATGCAAGCTTTGATAACGCGAGCAACGTTTTCTTAATTTTTTTTCCGATACCCTAATTTATACTAAATGGATACTGCAGTAAATCGTGATCTTTTTCTAACCCAGACCTAACCCAGACCTAACCCAGACCTAACCCAGACCTAATCCAGACCTAACCCAGACTTAATTCAGACTTATTCCAGACCTAACCCAGACCTAACCCAGACCTAACCCAGACCTAACCCAGACCTAACCCAGACCTAACTCAGATCTAATCCAGACCTAACCCAGACCTAACTCAAATCTAATCCAGACCTAACCGAAATCTAATCCAGACCTAACCCAGACCTAACCGAAATCTAATCCAGACCTAACCCAGACCTGACCCAGACCCTAGATTTGGGTTAGGTCTGGGTTAGGTCTGGATTAGATTTCGGTTAGGTCTGGGTTAGGTCTGGATTAGATCTGAGTTAGGTCTGGGTTAGGTCTGGGTTAGGTCTGGATTAGATTTGAGTTAGGTCTGGGTTAGGTCTGGATTAGATCTGAGTTAGGTCTGGGTTAGGTCTGGGTTAGGTCTGGGTTAGGTCTGGGTTAGGTCTGGAATAAGTCTGGGTTAGGTCTGGGTTAGGTCTGGGTTAGGTCTAGGTTAGATCCTTTCAGAAAGAGAGGCGAAAAAGTTACGTCACCCTTGTGACGTTTTATAGCGACTGAATTACGGAGAAGAAAATATAAATCTCCAACATGTTCAACACTCACCATTAGTGCATGGTGAATGTCAACATTTACCGGTGTAAGTCAGAAATGAGGGTGTTTAGCAAATATTTCGGTCATACACTAAGCGACTATGTGAATGTTGACATTCACCGGTGAAAGTCGACATTCTCCAGATTTCGGTGTTTCACTGTAACACCTACATACTATGTAGTAGCTCATTTTCATTATGCTTTATCTATAGGAGCAGAGTTTTCTATTATTGCAAAATTTATTTATTGATATCCAATTTTTACAAGTTTAAAATTAAATAAAAAATGATTAATAATTGAATTTATTTTGATATTTATTGGTGTTAATTTAACTTCTTTTCTTCAACAATAATTCTTTCAACATTTCTACGTTATTCATTTCTTCTTATTACGAATTGTACATCTACGTTTGTATACTTTAATTATTTTTAGCTTTTACATTCTATGACATTGAAGATCCCATTATACAAATAAAGATTATTTATTGATTACAGTCATAATCACTAATTTTTTTTTAATGTAAGAAATAGGCAAAATCAATCTCTGATTTGATCAGAAATACCCATAAATAAACAGTAGAAATAATTTTTCTCTTTAATGTCATATATATATATATATTTTTTTTTTATCGTTTAAAAGAAGTCTTACAACAAAAGAATTTTATTTGCTAACAGTAACATGCAATTGCTTTGTTTAGTCACTGTACAGGGTGTTTTCTAGCCAGCAATTTTTACGAAAATTATTGTGATTATAAAAAAAATGAGAAAGGAGAAAGTTTTATAGTTTTTTGTGATCAATTGGACAGTGTATTTCAATTTTGCATATTTACATTATTTTGTGACAAATGAAGCTGACCTTACACTTTTTAAATGAATATATTTTTTTGGGGTCATATGAAAGTATGTGTTATACTAAGTCAAAATTTGTAATAAATATGAATATTTGCAAAGTTATTCCTAGTGTCTTGTACCTCTTTTCTTTTAATTTTAATCGAAATTTAAGATAATACAAGCGATTGTCAATAAGGATAAGTCACCCTAACAACTAAATTAAACATGAAAAAAAATATTGATATATTTTATTTTTATGTTCTCCGAGACTGTATTATTTTTATAAGAAATCACATACAACACTAAATGTTCCATTCATTGTTTAAACAAATTTAAAAAATTTTTGATAAATAACTTTTTTTTGCAACAAGAGATTATAATTATGTAGATTTTAGTCTAAATTGACGTGTAGTAGACAAATGACGTGATAAAATCGGTATTTTCCCCTCTTTAATGGAATTTAATTTTTTTTACATAAACGAAATCGTTGTAGCACGTCTTTCTGTTACCCAATTGTTAACACATTACCGACCGATAGCCTATTAATCGACTGTTTTACCCACCAACGCTTACCGGCTGAGGGCCTATCAATCAACTGTTTTACCGGCCAACGCTTACCGACCGATAGCCGATTTATCAACCGTTACCGGTCGGTAAAGTGTTAAGAGTGGATGTAGCCTAAGAGTGATCGTGAGAGCTATGATGAATAAGGTATAGGCGGATGGAGCATGGGTGTGAGCGGATATAGAGAGGACAGCGCGTCGGTCGGATACGAGACGGGAACGCGGAGAACACGTGTGTCAGAGGCAGCCGTTGCTGCGTATCTTGTGACTGTGATGGCTACAATAAGTGGTGGATGTGGAAGGTTATGATTACATTCATATTAAACAATAAATACCATAACACAATCTACTTAATTTTTTCCCAAAATGGAATAAATTGAAGGGGTTGTACGATCAAAAATCTGAGAAAAATTTTTTGATCAAAAGTAACTAGGGTACTAGTGAACACCCTGTACAGTGACCTGTTTCCAGAACATACCTGAAGCAACGAAATCATCCAAGATACATTTTTAATCATTTCGTCAAAATGCAGAGTGACGCAGATCGATTTAACTCGTATTATATTATGCTGATGCATTATCGACAATTTACCGAACATTTTCGACGTTTCTACGAACGTCTTCAAATCCAGTTCGTGCGCGATGGTAACCAATGATCCAATTCCATCAATCACTGTATTCAACGGAGAACATGAGATTAACACAATAAAAATTATACACACACCGGGGGTACTTTAATTTCATTGTTACTGTGTAAGAACAAAAGGAATATAAATAAAAAATACTTATTTATAGGAACAAAAATAATGATACACTAGTTATTTAATTATTCGTTTAGGTCAACGAAGTGATACTATTGTCGAGTGTATCTAAAAATTGCAGAAAAAATTCTACTGGCCATTTATGTATATGAAAGTAGACTTACAGATTATAAAACATTAGCAGAACATGAATTTATTTTCCTTATGTTCTGTTCAAGGTTAATCAAATTTATTAAAAACAAAAGCAAAATTTATCTACAGTAAGCCTTACAAAATCAAAGTACCAGAAGTAATGGAAACTAACCTCAAACTAAAACTCGGACAGTTGGGAACATTGTTAGCTTTTCACCATAGAATGAGGGGAATCACCAGTAACTTTGCAATTTGATAGAATTGCTTTCATTTTATGTTGAATAAGTGTGAAATAAGTCATAGAAATTTGAGAGTTTTTGCGAAATTTATTTTAATATATAAAAATAGGCATCTGAACAGACATCTTTAGAAAGTCAGGAGCTAATTATAAGTCATTTTAAAGATGGATCATCGGTAAGAAATATTGTCAACATAGTCAAACGAAGTCATTCTACAGTGTACGATACAATTATACACTTTAGAAAACGAAATACTGTGGAAAATAAATCGAATCCCATCAAATGTAAAATCGAAATTGATCATCTTGAGGAGACGTATAAAGAATTGCAGATCATCTGCAAATTTTAACAGAAACTAAAGTTATTTTTATTAAGCTCTGTTCAAACTTAATCAAACGGATTAAAAACGAAAGCAAAATTTATCTAGATTAAGCCTTAATAAATCAAAGTTCCAGAAGTAATGGAAACTAACCTCAAACTAAAACTTGGACAGTTGGGAACATTGTTAGCTTTTCACCATAGAATGAGGGGAATCACCAGTAACTTTGCAATTTGATAGAATTGCTTTCATTTTATGTTGAATAAGTGTGAAAAAAGTCATAGAAATTTGAGAGTTTTTGCGAAATTTATTTTAATATATAAAAATGGGCTTCTGAACAGATGAATACATCGAAACCCAGCAGATGTAAAATCGAAATTAGACTTCTTGAGGAGACTAATAAAGAATTGCAGATCATCTGCAAATTTTAACAGAAACTAAAGTTATTTTTATTAAGCTCTGTTCAAACTTAATCAAACGGATTAAAAACGAAAGCAAAATTTATCTAGATTAAGCCTTAATAAATCAAAGTTCCAGAAGTAATGGAAACTAACCTCAAACTAAAACTTGGACAGTTGGGAACATTGTTAGCTTTTCACCATAGAATGAGGGGAATCACCAGTAACTTTGCAATTTGATAGAATTGCTTTCATTTTATGTTGAATAAGTGTGAAAAAAGTCATAGAAATTTGAGAGTTTTTGCGAAATTTATTTTAATATATAAAAATGGGCTTCTGAACAGATGAATACATCGAAACCCAGCAGATGTAAAATCGAAATTAGACTTCTTGAGGAGACTAATAAAGAATTGCAGATCATCTGCAAATTTTAACAGAAACTAAAGTTATTTTTATTAAGCTCTGTTCAAACTTAATCAAACTGATAAAAAACGAAAGCAAAATTTATCTACATTAAGCCTTAATAAATCAAAGTTCCAGAAGTAATGGAAACTAACCTCAAACTAAAACTCGGACAGTTGGGAACATTGTTAGCTTTTCACCATAGAATGAGGGGAATCACCAGTAACTTTGCAATTTGATAGAATTGCTTTCATTTTATGTTGAATAAGTGTGAAAAAAGTCATAGAAATTTGAGAGTTTTTGCGAAATTTATTTTAATATATAAAACTGGGCATCTGAACAGATGAATACATCGAAACCCAGCAGATGTAAAATCGAAATTAGACTTCTTGAGGAGACATATAAAGGATTGCAGATCCTCTGCAAATTTTAACAGAAACTAAAGTTATTTTTATTAAGCTCCGTTCAAACTTGATCAAACTGATAAAAAACGAAAGCAAAATTGATCTACATAAAGCCTTAAAAAATCAAAGTTCCAGAAGTAATGGAAACTAACCTCAAACTAAAACTTGGACAGTTGGGAACATTGTTAGCTTTTCACCATAGAATGAGGGGAATCACCAGTAACTTTGCAATTTGATAGAATTGCTTTCATTTTATGTTGAATAAGTGTGAAAAAAGTCATAGAAATTTGAGAGTTTTTGCGAAATTTATTTTAATATATAAAAATGGGCTTCTGAACAGATGAATACATCGAAACCCAGCAGATGTAAAATCGAAATTAGACTTCTTGAGGAGACTAATAAAGAATTGCAGATCATCTGCAAATTTTAACAGAAACTAAAGTTATTTTTATTAAGCTCTGTTCAAACTTAATCAAACTGATAAAAAACGAAAGCAAAATTTATCTACATTAAGCCTTAATAAATCAAAGTTCCAGAAGTAATGGAAACTAACCTCAAACTAAAACTCGGACAGTTGGGAACATTGTTAGCTTTTCACCATAGAATGAGGGGAATCACCAGTAACTTTGCAATTTGATAGAATTGCTTTCATTTTATGTTGAATAAGTGTGAAAAAAGTCATAGAAATTTGAGAGTTTTTGCGAAATTTATTTTAATATATAAAACTGGGCATCTGAACAGATGAATACATCGAAACCCAGCAGATGTAAAATCGAAATTAGACTTCTTGAGGAGACATATAAAGGATTGCAGATCCTCTGCAAATTTTAACAGAAACTAAAGTTATTTTTATTAAGCTCCGTTCAAACTTGATCAAACTGATAAAAAACGAAAGCAAAATTGATCTACATAAAGCCTTAAAAAATCAAAGTTCCAGAAGTAATGGAAACTAACCTCAAACTAAAACTTGGACAGTTGGGAACATTGTTAGCTTTTCACCATAGAATGAGGGGAATCACCAGTAACTTTGCAATTTGATAGAATTGCTTTCATTTTATGTTGAATAAGTGTGAAAAAAGTCATAGAAATTTGAGAGTTTTTGCGAAATTTATTTTAATATATAAAACTGGGCATCTGAACAGATGAATACATCGAAACCCAGCAGATGTAAAATCGAAATTAGACTTCTTGAGGAGACATATAAAGGATTGCAGATCCTCTGCAAATTTTAACAGAAACTAAAGTTATTTTTATTAAGCTCCGTTCAAACTTGATCAAACTGATAAAAAACGAAAGCAAAATTGATCTACATAAAGCCTTAAAAAATCAAAGTTCCAGAAGTAATGGAAACTAACCTCAAACTAAAACTTGGACAGTTGGAAACATTGTTAGCTTTCACCATAGAATGAGGGGAATCACCAGTAACTTTGCAATTTGATAGAATTGCTTTCATTTTATGTTGAATAAGTGTGAAAAAAGTCATAGAAATTTGAGAGTTTTTGCGAAATTTATTTTAATATATAAAAATGGGCATCTGGACAGATGAATACATCGAAACCCAGCAGATGTAAAATCGAAATTGGACTTCTTGAGGAGACGTATAAAGAATTGCAGATCATCTGCAAATTTTAACAGAAACTAAAGTTATTTTTATTAAGCTCTGTTCAAACTTAATCAAACTGATTAAAAACGAAAGCAAAATTTATCTACATTATGCCTTAAAAAATCAAAGTTCCAGAAGCAATAGAAACTAACCTCAAACTAAAACTTGGACAGTTGGGAACATTGTTAGCTTTTCACCATACAATGAGGGGAATCACCAGTAACTTTGCAATTTGATAGAATTGCTTTCATGTTGTGTTGAATAAGTGTGAAAAAAGTCATAGAAATTTGAGAGTTTTTGCGAAATTTATTTTAATATATAAAAATGGGCATCTGGACAGATGAATACATCGAAACCCAGCAGATGTAAAATCGAAATTGGACTTCTTGAGGAGACGTATAAAGAATTGCAGATCATCTGCAAATTTTAACAGAAACTAAAGTTATTTTTATTAAGCTCTGTTCAAACTTAATCAAACTGATTAAAAACGAAAGCAAAATTTATCTACATTATGCCTTAAAAAATCAAAGTTCCAGAAGCAATAGAAACTAACCTCAAACTAAAACTTGGACAGTTGGGAACATTGTTAGCTTTTCACCATACAATGAGGGGAATCACCAGTAACTTTGCAATTTGATAGAATTGCTTTCATGTTGTGTTGAATAAGTGTGAAATAAGTCATAGAAATTTGAGAGTTTTTGCGAAATTTATTTTAATATATAAAAATAGGCATCTGAACAGATGAATACATCGAAACCCAGCAGATGTAAAATCGAAAGTAGCCTTCTTGAGGACACGAATGAAGAATTGTTGAGACAACGATATCTTTGTATCCGACATTCTCGATAGGGATAAAAATGGCTTGGATTAAAGAATCGTTAAGACGTAATAGGATCGCTCACCTTTTACCAACAGTTCCATTTCCAATTCCGTATCCGTGTCGAAAACGATTACACTCTCCAAAGTGGCCAGGAATAGGCTCAAGATCGTTTTCGCCTTGCGAAAGAGATTTGTTAAATTTTCCGATACGCCCTCGAACAAAGTACTGTATAACTTTGTGCTGCAAAGAAAATTCTTCTCTGTCTGTCTGTCACGTGGAAATACGTCGATTCGTCGTCGAATTATAAGAAAAATTCTTTTGCAAAATCATACTGCATGTAATTGGAATCATTTAAAATAAGTGCACCGAATTTTACACGATTTATTTCCTTAACTCACTCATTAACAGTTTGATAAAAGCATTAATTTTTTTTTTTTATTTTTATTATATTGTATATTTTACATTTATTTACATTAGTAATGATGTAACCATCATTTTGGATACTAAACGAATAAAACTGATAAGTTTTATTCTGTGATTAACCTAGTGATCTTAATGAATGTGTTTTCGAAAAATCATGAACGTTTATTTTAATTTTGTAAATAAATGTTACCGAGTTTATGTGAAAATAAATATTTTAACTGCGTTGAAAACAATAATTAGTGTGTTTTTTTTTATTATGCAAAATAATGTAATAAGATTGGGTACTTTGAATATTTGAACATTCTTGTTTCTTAAGAAATTTAAAAAAATAAATATGTTATTCGTACACCATAAATTTCACTATCTTTTCATATTATGTTAATAATGTAGGTAAAAAGTAATATCTAGAATGTTCTATTATCATTTATGTGAGACCATTTACCATACAGTATAATTTATCCTTTCTTCATTTTCACATAAGAAATGTGATTAATACGTTGGCTGCCTTGGTGGTCACTGGTAACTAAGGATGTTCGATTCTTGCAATAAGAATCGATTCTTGAATCAATTCTAAATCGAAGCGACTAGAATCGATGCAGCGTGAAATCGAACACGGAAGAATCGATCTATCGAAAATCGATTTACGAAATCGTTCAAGGAACCACTTCAGTATACTAACAATTACTATCGAAATATTAATGGGTGATTGTGTTATATACAAACTTCGAAATTTTTAAATCAAATTTGCATATTTATAATTTATATTTAAGATATGAGAAATAAAACAATTAATAATTAACAAAGTTTGCATTTGCCACCAGCACCAATGCGGATGAAACATTTTCAAACAGTACTCTTTGCTTTGCGAGACACTAGGAATGCAAATTGTTTACAAAATTATTAAAGCAAACTAATAATGGTTCATTCCACGTCAAATCGATCACTTTTTTCCCTGGATGTCTGGGATTTTGTTTAAAATTGAATATTATGTAGACTCTACGATATTAAGGGCAGTTTAAGTCATCATTTTGCTGGTTTCGAATTTGTTTAAAAAATACAGGCTTCTGAAGTTTACGATTTTTGTAAAAATGGATCGTAAATGGGAATTTTTATCTCGAAAACTATTTATCGTGTTAAAATGTATTTTTTTCAGTTTTATTTGGAAGGGATTGGCTTTTCTAAATAAATTTTGTCCACAATGATAAATCAATAAAACAAAAATTTATTTATAATATCCGATATTGCAAAATTGATTTTTTATTTGGAACAAAATTTATTTCGAAAGAGCTATCCTTTCCTAATAATACTGAAAAAAAAACATTTCAATATGATAAATAGTTTGCGAGATAAAAATTACTAAGTAGAACCGATTTTTACAAAAGTCGTTAATTTTAGAGGTTTGTACTTTTTAAACAAATTCGAAACCAGCGAAATGATGACTTAAACTACCTCTAACATCATACGATCTACATCATATTCAATTTTAAACAAAATCCCGAACATTGAGAGAAAAATTGATCAATTTGTCATGAAATGACCTTAATGTAATCACGTGATCATTAAATTTTTGTAATCTGATAAACGAAACAGTCTTCAACAACTAATATAAAAATTTGTAATTTAAGAAATGGTCCTCAAACTAGAAATTGTGTGAATAATCTGTAATATTTATTTTAAAGTTAATATTAATTTTTCTTTTCTTATTTGTTGTTTGAAAGTTTTTATAATGTAGATTTAAGGGCAAAAAGAAAAGTCTCATACATCATACCGTAAATAAAATGAAAAAAACTGCAATTTCGCCCATAAAAAAAAATTGATTCGCACCAAAATCGGATATCCAAGAATCGACTTAAAAAATCGAAAATTGTATTAAAACGATCGATTCAAAAAAATCGAAAATCGTATAAAAGTGATTGATTTAAAAGAACTAAAAATCATATTAAAATGATCGATTCAAAAAAATCGAAAACCGTATTAAAATGATCAATTCAAAGAAATCGTAAATCGTATTAAAATGTTCGATTCAAAATAACCGAACATCGTATGATAATGATCGATTGAAAAAAATCGGTAATCGTATTAAAATGTTCAATTCAAAATAACCGAAAATCGTATTAAAATGATCGATTCAAAGAAATCGATAATCGTATTAAAATGTTCGATTCAAAATAACCGAAAATCGTATTAAAATGATCGATTCAAAAAAAACCGAAAATCGTATCAAAATGGTCGATTCAAAAAAATTGATAATCATATAAAAATGTTCAATTCAAAGAAATCGAAAATCGTATTAAAATGATCAATTCAAAGAAATCGGAAATCGTATGAAAAAGATCGATTAAAAAAAATCGAATCTAGTATTAGAATAATCGATTTTCCAGAAAATCGATTCCGAATCGAACATTCTTGGTGACCAACCGGTCCTTTAAATATACAACGTGTTGCAATATTGTTTACAATGTAAGAAATCTAATATTTGTAAAGGAAAATTATAAATAACCCTACTTTAATTATAAATGCTGTAAAATAGCCGGTACACTTATCTAATATTGTTTCACACTATGATTTTAATATATGTTGAACACATCTTTAGACATGAAAAACTGGCGTGGCAGTCAACGTATTAGTAATTTCATTTTGCTCATTTACTCGGTGTTACACTCTTCGGAAACGATTAACAAAAAACGTGATAAGTATTCGATATACTTTACCTTCCTCTGCAGTGTTCGAATACCAATTTAATCGTGATAGGTACGTTTTCTGACAGAGATTTAAGACTAACGGCAGACGTTTTGTGAAGTTTGGATACTCGGTCTACAGATTTCTCCCATACATTCAACAATTCATGGCAAACAAACAATTGTCGTTTCACATTTTCCAAAGTATCTCGTTCAACGCTCGTGCTTATTATTTTGCTAATTCGATTCATGACCTTACGAACGTGTATGAAATAAAAAAATAAAATATTTACTTAAAGACGATAACGTTTATCTTTGACATAGTTGCATTTCCGTGAGACTTCGGATTAATACGTTCACAGCTTGTTGAATCACGTATAAAATAACATACGTCACTCTAATCTTCGCTCATTGTGAATTATAAAACTTTAATTCTTTCTGTTAAGCAATACTACTTTTGTCCAATACTGTACGTTGCCTGTAATGTACGCTGAAGTGGCGATAAAATGATTAGAAAAAAAAGACAGAATGTTTATTGCCATTGAAAGCTTCTCGTCTCTCTGGACATTCAAGTTGCATTCACGTGGACTATGAACGTGTTAATACTGACCTTCAAAGGCACGTTACATTTCATATTATACCTCGATTAAATAGCGATGCGCGACGGGAAGAATTTCGCTGAAAACTTTCTCGTCCAATAAGTTGACTGGAAAAGCGGACAAACAGTTTTGCAGAGTCTGCTGGAAGTATTCTGCTTCGAACTTTTCGACCAAATTGTCCAAGGCATTGTGAGCATCGTAGCATTAAGGAAATTATTTAATATCAATATTATATCGTTGCAACATAATCAGTAAGTATCGTAAAGGATATTTTTAATGTAAATAAGTAATCATCGGAGCAATCTTCGAGGACTTCAGCGCCATCGGAAGAAGAATCGTTGAGCAACGATGTAAACGAATCGTCTTTCTCCATCTCCTGTAACCACACAATTCAATTTTCGATTTTTAATGCCCCATTTCGACAATGTTTTACGGAAGCATATACAGGATGTTCGGCCATCCCTGGAAAAAATTTGAATGGGAGATTCTAGAGGCTAAAATAAGACGAAAATTCAGGATACCAATTTGTTGATTGAGGCTTTGTTAAAAGGTTATTAACGTTTAAGGTTCCATATGGACCAGAAAATTATTCGGCGATATTGAAAAATTTCAAATCATTCTGAAAAATTTATTTTTAGTTGCGGCGGTCAATTATAATTATTTTTGGTGAATACACATACCCTCGAGATCCTACGCACTTTCGATAAAAAAATTCTTTTCCGAAAATATAATGTGAGGTTAGAAATGTTGCCCTAAAATTCCATGCGTAAGTTTAAAACATCATAACTTCTGAACGGATTCATGGATTTTAATGTTTCGAAATGCAAACGACGCATATTTTGGTGAAAAATATGCAGAAATTCTAGAAATATTCGAAAAGTTATTCCTTAACACCGTAAAATGAAAAAAAGGCCCATAAAAATTGTTCACTTTTCAAACGGTCATAACCCCTACAATAGTGAATGGAGTTTATAGAAAATTATTTCTGAAATAGAGCTCATGGATACCTACGAATAAGTATTAGACAAAATTTCCGTAGGACGTCCAACAAATTTATTGAAAATGAAAAACAAATTATTAAAAAATCAGGTGCTGAAATTTTTCGGCGAAATTGAAAAGTTTCAAATTTATTCTGGAAAAATTATTTTTAGTTGTGGAAGTCCATTACAATTATTTTTGGTGAATACACATATCCCCGAGATCCTACGCACTTTCGATAAAAAAATTCTTTTCCGAAAAACTATAATGTGAGGTTAGAAATGTTGCCCTAAAATTCCATGCGTAAGTTTAAAACATCATAACTTCTGAACGGATTCATGGATTTTAATGTTTCGAAATGCAAACGACGCATATTTTGGTGAAAAATATGCAGAAATTTTAGAATTATTCGAAAAGTTGTTCCTTAACACCGTAAAATGAAAAAAAGGCCCATAAAAATTGTTCACTTTTCAAACGGTCATAACCCCTACAATAGTGAATGGAGTTTATAGAAAATTATTTCTGAAATAGAGCTCATGGATACCTACGAATAAGTATTAGACAAAATTTCCGTAGGACGTCCAACAAATTTATTGAAAATGAAAAACAAATTATTAAAAAATCAGGTGCTGAAATTTTTCGGCGAAATTGAAAAGTTTCAAATTTATTCTGGAAAAATTATTTTTAGTTGTGGAAGTCCATTACAATTATTTTTGGTGAATACACATATCCCCGAGATCCTACGCACTTTCGATAAAAAAATTCTTTTCCGAAAATATAATGTGAGGTTAGAAATGTTGCCCTAAAATTCCATGCGTAAGTTTAAAACATCATAACTTCTGAACGGATTCATAGATTTTAATGCTTCGAAATGCAAACGACGCATATTTTGGTGAAAAATATGCAGAAATTCTAGAAATATTCGAAAAGTTATTCCTTAACACCGTAAAATGAAAAAAAGGCCCATAAAAATTGTTCACTTTTCAAACGGTCATAACCCCTACAATAGTGAATGGAGTTTATAGAAAATTATTTCTGAAATAGAGCTCATGGATACCTACGAATAAGTATTAGACAAAATTTCCGTAGGACGTCCAACAAATTTATTGAAAATGAAAAACAAATTATTAAAAAATCAGGTGCTGAAATTTTTCGGCGAAATTGAAAAGTTTCAAATTTATTCTGGAAAAATTATTTTTAGTTGTGGAAGTCCATTACAATTATTTTTGGTGAATACACATATCCCCGAGATCCTACGCACTTTCGATAAAAAAATTCTTTTCCGAAAAACTATAATGTGAGGTTAGAAATGTTGCCCTAAAATTCCATGCGTAAGTTTAAAACATCATAACTTCTGAACGGATTCATAGATTTTAATGTTTCGAAATGCAAACAACGCGTACTTTGGTGAAGAATATTTCGAAATTCTAAGAATGTTTGAAACGCTGTTCCTTAACCTCGTAAAGTGCGTAAAACTCCATGAAAATGAAATTTAAATTCAGTTTGTAAGTAGAGCTTATGAATACCTACAGAAAAGTATTGAACGTCATTTCCGTGCAGCGTCGAACAAAATTAAAAATAAAAAACGAATTTTTAAGAAAAATCGACAGGGTGCTGAAATTTTTCAGCGAAATAGAAAAGTTTCAAATCATGTTGGAAAAATTATTTTTGATTGCAGGGGTCAATTACAATTATTTTTGGTGAATACACATACCCTCGAAATCCTAACCATTTTCAAGAAAAAAATTCCTTACCGAAAACATAATTTCAGGCCAGAAATGTCACTCCAAAATTTCGTGCGTATCTTTGAAACGTCATAACTTCTGAACGGATTCGAGGATTTTAATGTTTCAAACGGCAAACAACGCGTATTTTGGGGAAGATTAGGTAGAAATTCTAAAAATATTCGAAAAGTTGTTCCTTGATCCTGCAAAATGGGAAAACCCCCATAAATATGGTGCAATTTTCAAACGGCCATAACTCCTACAATAGTGAACGTATCTCATTGAAACTTATTTCTAAAGTAGAGTTCATGGATACATACAAAAAAGTATTAGACAGTTTTTCTGTAGGGCACGAAATAAAATTACTAAAAATCAAAAACTAATTTTTAAGAAAAATTGACAGAGGGTACTAAAATTTTTTGGCGAAATTAAAAAATTTCAGATCATTTTGAAAAAATTATTTTTGATTGCGGGGGTCAATTACAATTATTTTTGGTGAATACACATACCCCTAAAATCCTACGCACTTTCGAGGAGAAAATGCTTTTCCGAAAAAATAATGTGAGGTTAGAAATGTTGCGTATCTTTAAAACATCATAACTTCTGAACGGATTCATAAATTTTAATGTTTCGAAATGCAAACGACGCATATTTTGGTGAAAAATATGCCTAAATTCTAGAAATATTCGAAAAGTTGTTCCTTAACATCGTAAAGTGAAAAAAATCTTAAAAAAATAGCCCAATATTCAAACGTCCATAACTTCTACAATAGTAAAGGTATCTCATTGAAATTTTTTTCTGAACCAGAGCCCATGGGTACCTATACACCTACTTTTGACCTTCCTCCCTTTGGCTTCCCTTCCAAAAGTTTCCTATTTATTCTTTTTATTTGGACTTCATTAACTGCAATAAGAGCGAAATCGTGGATATCAGTATTAAACGGTTCGTAATGTAATTTCTAATCCCGTTTCTCGTGTCACAGGCAAATCGACCGTCTATCAATCGGCCCGATCGCGGAATGGGGCCTCGAAAATTTCTTGGCAAGCCTCGCGAGTCAAACTTTCCTGCCTCGATCGAGCACAGCAGACAGTCGTTCCTCCAGAAACCGGGGCAGGGATGGGCAAACTATTCGATCAAATTATGAAACTCGAAAAACAATCTTTGCAACTAAACCAATGTATACTATGTATGCCTCAATAGTAATTTCATTCAGGAATACGTGAAAATAAAATAAATAATTTTTAATATAGCGAGAATTTTATAAGACAAATGTTTCGGTTGTTTCGACAATTTCTAAAATTAAATAGATCAAGAGAACAATTTTTTAGATATTAATATGTTTTCAATTAAGAATATTATTTTACTCGTTTCTATGTTTATTAGTACTTGCTGGCGGTTTTAACATTTCGGTTACATATTGCAAATGTTTCGATCTTGTTTCGAATTTGGCAGGATAAATTAATCAAATAAACGCGTTAATAATATGCATTAAGACAGAATGATAATTAAAAATCAAGTTCATGTAAAAGAAATCAATTTCCATTGTTATTAATAGACTGTGAATTTTTATGCAAATTTATATTTTTATTAATAAAGTGAATGAAATGTGGAGCTCTCTAGAGGGTAGTTTCAACCCCTAAATACAATGATACGATTCTTACGTTTTTCTTATATTTTTAAATATTAAGTGCATTCTGGAATTTTTTAAAATTTTCCATAAATGCGTAAAAATTTAAAAAAAATAACAAAATAAACCATCGTTATTAAAAAACTGCAGATTTTTATGCAAATTTATATTTTTATTAATGAAGTGAATTAAATGTGGAGCTCTCTAGAGGGTAGTTTCAATCCCTAAATACAATAATTCGATTCTTACGTGTTTCTTATATTTTTAAAAATTAAGTGCATTCTGCAGTTTTTCAAAACTTTCCATAAATGCTTAAAATTAAAAAAAAAATAACAAAGTAAACCATCGTTACTAAAAGATTGCGGATCTTTATGCAAATTTATATTTTTATAATAAAGTGAATGAAATGTGGAGCTCTCTAGAGGGTAGTTTCAACTCCTAAATACAATAATTCGATTTTTACGTATTTCTTATATTTTTATACATGGTGTTCGGTCACATTTGGAAAAAATTTTTATGGGGGATTCTAGAGAACAAATTAAGACGAAAATCAAGAATACCAATTTGTTTATAGACACTTCGTTAAAAAGTTATTAACGTTTAAAGTTCCGCCCGTACTGAATTTTTTTTCTCGAAAATCCGCTAGATTTTGGGGGTATATCTATTCACCAAAAATGATTGTAATTGACCCCCGCAACCGAAAATAATTTTTCCAAAACGATTTGAAATTTTTTTTTTCGTCGCATATTCTCGAATTTTTTTCTAGAAAGTGGGTAGGATTTCGGAGGTATGTCTACTCACCAAAAATGATTGTACTTGACCCCCGCAACTGAAAACAATTTTTCCAGAACAATTTGAAATTTTTTTTTGTCGTTGAATTTAGACACCTACGATTTTTCTTAACAATTACTTTTTCATTTTTAATAAATTTGGTTGGCGCTGTACAGAAAAGTTGTTTAATACTTTTTTGCAGGTATCCATGAGCTCTAGTTCCTCCCAAAATTTCAATGAAATATATTAACTGTTGTAGGAGTTATGGCTATT